CCAGTCTTGCTCAGCTTTCAGAGGATGCTAGTGTTGGGGATGGAACCCATGGCCTTGTCCATGCTGGACAGGCACTCCACCACTGAGCTGCATTCACCACAACAGAGCCCTTTTAGTCACACATCCTCACGTGTGAAAGGGACCAGCTGTGCACCAAGTGTAGGGCAGGCTGGTGTAAACTAAGTGTTTTATCTTTGTCTGTGGTCTGGGGTATGTTTGTGTGACCCTTCTTGCTAAGCCCAGTTGAGCTGGTTCTGTAGGGAGGTGCATGCTGAGGGTACTGAGACTTTCTTTATATGGTGGATATGCTAGCAGAGTGAGGGGCCTCCTGCTTGTCCCACGTCAGCTGTTCTTTGGGTGGGGGTCACTCACAGGAGCCCACGGGGGAGTTGCTTTGTTTTTGGAATTCGACATAGTAAAACCAGATTTTTGAGACTAGATTCTCTGCTTCTGTTGGTGGGTGAGCTGCAGGCCTCTGCAGCCAAGGACTCCCTGCTTAAGTCTCAGCAGCTAATTGCAGCAGGGGATGCCTGCTGGCAAAACCAGATTCTTCTCCACTACTGTGGAGTGGCGCCTGTAGCTTTTAATGGTGGGCCATACCCAAGGGTCCAGCAGCGGACCCTTGCAGCTCACCGCCAAGCCAATTTCTTTTGGGGTTCTCGTCTTGCAGATTAGAAGAATTAAATCCACAGATGAGGAAAAGTAAGCGTAAAAGAGTAGAGTTTATTCAAGTGAGAAGAAAAAGAGGCAGAACTCCCACAGGGCAAGCGGGGACGTGCGAGGGCTGCCACTTAAACCTACAGGCTAGGGGATTTTATAGCTTCTGAGTGGGGGCATTGATCCAACCATGCTAAACAGGTGTTGGGATGTACCATGGCTATCAATCTCTCTTTCCTGTCCCCATCACCCGGGAAAAAGGAGTTGGCCAGAACATTTGGAACATTTCTACAGGTTGACCGCAGGGAGTGACCACCTTTATGTTGAAAAACAGGCTTGACATAAGCCTCTCATTGAACAAGAGCCAGACACCTGAGGGATGGAGCTCAGGGTGGACTCCTGGCTTGTGGGCTCCTGCTTCAGGGCTCCAGGGCTCAAGGTGGCCTGGTTTGAGAGTGGCAGGGAAGACTCGGGTCCCCAGGGCCAGGTCCCCCGGCACCTGTTAGGTGGCTGTGCACAGGGCTTCCTGGGCCCTTGTGGAGCCCAGGGTGATGCCCACTACCCTGTGTTGAGCAGCTGCCAATGTGCTGCTGTCGGAGCAAGGTGACGTGAAGCTGGCGGACTTCGGGGTGGCAGGGCAGCTCACAGACACACAGATCAAGAGGAACACGTTCGTGGGCACTCCCTTCTGGATGGCACCTGAGGTCATCAGACAGTCAGCCTACGACTTCAAGGTGGCGCAGTAGGTAGGGAGGTGGGGGGGCACTGCAGCCCCACGGGTGCCTCATGCTGCCACTGTCCCGTGTGCTGCCCTGTCTAGGCTGACATCTGGTCCCTGGGCATCACGGCCATCGAGCTGGCCAAGGGGGAACCACCCAACTCTGACCTCCACCCCATGCGCGTCCTGTTCCTGATCCCTAAGAACAGCCCGCCCACACTGGAGGGCCACCACAGCAAGCCCTTCAAGGAGTTCGTGGAGGCCTGTCTCAATAAGGACCCCCGTTTTGTAAGGCCTGACCCCCGCCCGGCCCTCACAGCTCTGGGTCACTTGTGGGGAGGATGTGGGCTCGAGGTGGGCAGGGCCAGTGGGACAGCTCACCCCCTGCCTCCTCTGAGAGGAGTTGAATGGCGCCTACTGACTGCCCGCCCTCCCTCCCCCAGCGGCCCACAGCCAAGGAGCTGCTGAAGCACAAGTTCATCACTCGCTACACCAAGAAGACCTCCTTCCTCACTGAGCTCATTGACCGATACAAGCGCTGGAAGTCGGAGGGGCATGGCGAAGAGTCAAGCTCCGAGGACTCTGACATGTGGGGCCCCACTCCCCAGAGCTGTCCGCTGCCTTCATGCCCCATAGCCTTGGGTGCTTTGGAGGGAAGGGGGTTTCCACTCGAGAAGCAAGACCTGGGCGGCTTGCTGGGGCTGGGTCTGGTGTTGGGCTAAAGGAAATGGCCTGTTGGGTCACCTGCCTGGGGTGGCTTGGGCAGAGCTACCCACGTCGACTTGCTTCTGGGCTGCCTCAGAAAACATGAGAGGCACTTGAGACCTTGGAGGTCCCTCCCTGCACCTGGGTCATTCCTGACTCGTCCCTCTTTCTAGTGATGGCGAGGCTGAGGACGGGGAGCAGGGCCCCATCTGGACGTTCCCCCCAACCATCAGGCCGAGCCCACATGGCAAGCTGCACAAGGGGACCGCCCTGCACGGCTCCCAGAAGGTCTGTCCTGGCCTGGCCCTGGGGGCTGCGGCCCACCCCTCCACCCCACCCCATCCAGCTGTGTCAGAGCCACATGTGGTAGGGGTACAGGGTGGGCTTGGAGTGGGGCTCCAGGGAGGTCAGCCTCCACAGGGCCCAAGTGAGCTGCTTGAGGAGGCCACAGTGGGTTGGACTGGAGCGTTGCCTGACCCCACCCCATGTCTCTGCCCTCAGCCTGCAGAGCCTGTCAAGAGACAGCCAAGGTCCCAGAGCCTGTCCACGCTGGTCCGGCCTGTATTTGGAGAGGTGAGGGTAGGGCTGGGCTGGGTCCCCCAGGGCCACGGTTTTGTTCCCAGACACCTGTCCTGAGCACCTTTGAGTGGGGCCCTGACCGGCTAGAGCTGGGGTTTCCTCCTGTTGGTCTCCAGGTCTCTGGCAGCTGATGGTGGTTAGGCTTATGGGTCGGGATTCATAGTGGAAGGACCATAGACCGCTGACAATGCCCTGGAAAGACCCTTTGTGTCCCCAGACCTGCTGAGGCCCTCTGGCATCCCAGGTGGCTTTGAACAGGATGCACATCCTATGACTTTGTGACACACAGGAGATAGGGAAGGATTGGGGTAGTTCAAGGTCAGGGCCACCTGAGAGCCATGTGACTTCTGGTGTGTCTTTACACGTGTCACCTGCTGGTGGCAGGTGAGAGCCATCTCCAGAAATAGAATGTAGCCAGGACCCCCACCCCCAAATCTGGACTTGGGACTCAGGTGGGCTCAGACCTGCCTTCCCAAGAGCACCAGTTACCACCCCTGGGGTGACAGCAACAGGTGGAGTCCAGGTAGGGAGGATGGGACACTGGTGAGAATACAGGAACAGCCGGGGCAGTGACTTGAGTCACATAGGTGCAGTCTCTTGCGTGTGTCCTGGGGAACTGGTCCAGCCCACAGTCCCACGGCAAGGTGACCTGGGTAAGGAGGCCCCTTGGGATTGGAGGGCCCATGATAACTGCTGCTGTGGCCCCAGGGTCAGGTGGGGGTGTGTCGCAGACCTGCACACTGCCTGGGTCTGGCCTTGCTGTTCCCATGGTGGCTGGGCAGCGTGTTTTCCCATCAGACTGGACCCACATGACTGCGTTTGTGACCACAGCTGGGAGGAAGCCACATATTCCCTCCTGAGAACCAAGGCCCAAGACTCCCTGGAGCACAGCGGGAGGGTGGGCCTTGTGGAAGGGCAACTGGAGTCCCTCAGCGGGGAAGGCCACACTGCCACCCCTAGCTTGCTGGGGACTCGGTGCAGGTTCCAGGCGAGGCCCCCAGTCAGACCAGGTTTCTCTGCAGCTCAAAGAGAAGCACAAGCAGAGTGGCGGGAGCGTGGGTGCCCTGGAGGAGCTGGAGAACGCCTTTAGTCTGGCTGAGGAGTCCTGCCCTGGCATCTCCGACAAGCTGGTGGTGCACCTGGTGGAGCGAGTGCAGAGGTGAGCTGCCCAGGGGGGTGGCCTTTGTCCTTTCTGGTTTGTGCTCATGGGTCTGGAGAGGCCAGGCAGCTGTCTGGCACCCAAAGTTCAACCCTTAGCCTCATGGTCTGATGTCTGGGACAAAGTCCCTGGCCCGGTGGCATGGCGTTATGCGGCTGACCTCTGACCTCCCCCGTGACTTCCTGTGGGGCCTGCTGCTGAGGCATATCTGTGGTGTGCCTTGGGACATGCCGGGCCCTCCCAGCAGCTGCTGGGCTGGGTTCCAGGTTCTCACTGTTGCGCTGTAGGCAGCTGTTCCCTGCCCCTCCCTCCTGGAGATGCCCACCCCTGCACTCTTGGGGGCTGGGTCTGTGCCAGCCCATGCCGCTCCCAAGACCCGAGGCACTGCTGCAGACTGCACTGAAAGCCCCAGGGCCTGGCCCCGGAGCATGTCTAAGTGGCCAGGCAGTAATGTGATGGCCCTTCCTCCGCAGGTTCTCACACAGCAGGAACCATCTGACGTCCACCCGCTGAGCACCATGTCACTCTTCATGGAGAGCCGGTGCTGCCTCTCTGTTCTGAGCTGCAGAAGGTCCGTGCTGAGCTGGAAGCCCCCTCGTGCTGTGCTGTGACTGTCAGGGCATGCCAGCCTGCAGGCCTCACCACCTGGTCGTCCTCCCCCTGCTCCATACCCTGTCCCCCCCCCCCCCTCCTGGCCTGGCTGAAGCTACACCCAGCAGCAGGGAGCCCGTGGAGACCAGGCAGCCAGTGGGGCTGTCTTGGCCATCTCAGGTTTCCCTGAGCTGGCCCAGCCCTCCACATTCAGCCCTAGGTGGGCAGGAAGTGTCAGGACACCCAGCCTGGGACACACCGTCCTTGGAGTCATGGTGACCATGTGGCCCTAGACCTGCCTGTGGTGCCAGGCAGGTGCTGTCTCCTCATGAGTATTTGTGTCATCAGATGTGTTGTTTTTTAAGAAAACCAAGTTTCTTGTTCCCTTCAGTGCTGTGAGGGTACGTACGTGTTGAAGGCCCTGCCGCTCTCTGTTAATAAAGACCTGGCCTGCAGTCGTGCCGCGGGCTGGCCGGGCCAGGCTCCTCCGCCTGTCTCCCCAGGCCCACCCCGGTGCTGGCCTCCCTTCTCCCTCCCTGGAGTCAGAGTTCCGCACGGCCCACTGGAGAACAGAGAAAGGCAGAGGGCATAGGCGGGTGAGAAGATGCTGTTTATCTTCAGTCACAGAAGTTAACAGGTGGCATGTGACTCCTCCCGGGCCAGGGGCTCAGCTCTGCTGTTCCAGAGGCCCATGGAGTAGAGACTGGTCAGCTCTGCTAGACTAGCCTTGCAGGGACCCCTGGGCCAGCCTGGGGCCTCTGCAGGGCCTGCAGGCATGTGTGGGGCTGTCTGCTGGTTGTTCAAGGCCTGCCCTCAGATGGGGCCCTGCCCCACACTCCAAGCAGGGTTCTGTGTCCCTTTTGAGAAGCTATGAGATGGAGACATCTGTTTCCCAGCCATCCACTGGCCTGCACTGCATTGTGAGGGGAAAAGCCAGGGGGTCACTGAGGCCTCCAGTGCTGTTGGTGCCGCCTCCTGTCTGGCAGGAAGCTCTGGGGCCCCAGCTGGGTCTGCTGTCCACAGCCTTCCACAGCAGGTCCTGGTCCAGGCCAGATGGGTTCACTCTTCCCCCTCCCTGACTGCCCCTTCAGACTCTGAGGCAGCAGCATATGGACAGTCCTGCGGGAATCTTGGAGGCTGCCCAGGTGAGGTGCCGGCCCTCTGGATCACCTCCATCCACCTGCAGAGGGTCCTGCTGTCAGACCTGTGGGCTGGTGCTCACACACCCTTCCCACCGGCCCCCAACATGGAGTGAGTGAGTGGACAGCAGGGCCAGCTAGGAATCCTGCCAGCCCTCCTCAGCAGGGCACAAGGAGATGGTGATGCTCCCACTGTGAAATCACCTCTCAAACGTATACTTGCTCTCAGCCCGGAAGAAGTAGACGTGGGACTTGAACTGCAGCTTGAAAACGTAGTCTTTGTGGATGCCATCAACCTCCGTGGCGACACTCACACTATAGCCCAGCAGAGGGAGGCTGGCCAGGGGGTGGTCGTCCTGGGAGACGCACAGGGTTCTGGAGACGGCTTGTACACACAAGCCGCAGGCCAGGGAACTAGCCATCCCTGCTCCCTCCCCCAGAGAACCCAGGGGTGCTTTTGCCATTGGGCTGTGATCTCTCCTTGGAGACCAGTCCAGGCACGTTGCTGAGGCTGGCATGGCACTTGCAATCCCCCCGGCCTCAGCTTCCTGCATTGTGGGGACTGAAGGACTATACTTCAGACCCTCTTCTGCAGATGACGCTGAAGAGCCCAGGCAGGCCAGGTGAACACCCGAGCGCCACCTGGGCCCTGGCTCTGTTGAGCACACGTACCTGATGAGTCTTATAAAAGAACAAACAGAAGTTGGTGAAGACCACCCAGAGCTTCTGCCAGCCGTCACCGTTTTTGAACTTTCTCAGCAGATACCCTGAAAGTTGGTTCTGACAGCAAAAAGGGCAGAGGGGCACGTCAGCCAGCAGCCCCTCCCACCTGCCTCCCCGCCACGTCCAGGCTCCTACAGGGACACTAGCAGGACACACAGCCTGGGGACAGTGACCCCAGCATTCAGGCCGTCCATAGATTTACCCAACAGCACGGAGAGGACACAGCGGGGTTGGGGTGTGCTGTGTCTGGAAGGTGCTTCTGAGTGCTGGAGGAGGCACCCACTCCCAGGTCAGGACCAGGCCCTGCCCCTCCTGCCCCAGGTGGCTCTGGGGCCTGTGTTCCACAGACAACTTCTGGAGATCAGCAGGGAGCTTACCAGTTCAGGGGGAGGAGGAAGGTCCTGCTAGGACCCTGCTCTGATATACTGACAATAAAGGGCCAGGCCTCAGAACCTGCCATGTTGTGGCACAACCCAGGTGACCTGGGGGAGTCCCTGGGCCCCAGCCCAACAGAAAGGAGGAGGTGGACAGCGATCAGCCTGGGGAAGGGTGGGCCAGAGTCCAGAGGGCACTGTCCTGGGGCAGTAAGGGCTTTCCTCCATGAGTGCACCCAGGCTGCTGCCCTGAGGCCCTTCTGGGGTCACCCCCAGCACACAAGTAGAGGGGTTCAACTGGATGAGAGGTTTCCCAGCTGACCTGCCAAGGAGGAAGCAGGAAGCAGCTGGCTGTGGCCAAACCTGGTCACCTGGGACCTTCCTGAGGGCCCGCCCTTCGTGGCCAAACCCTGCACTCTGGGAGGTCTTAAAACAGCCATACCTCGACAGCGGCACTGTGGTCAGCCCTGGACACACTCGTGTTCCGATACCAGCACACGTGCATCATGGTGTTGGCCCGGTGCTGGACCTGCCCCTCCAGGGAGCCTCGGGTCCCCCGGGCATCTTCTTCAGACTCCTGCTCCAGTGAGATCTCATCAGAGGACCCTGAGGGGAGTCAGCAGTGTTGGGTGCCTCCCTCCCCAGGGCAGCTTCGGGAATGGGCTGTTGGAGCTGGGTGGGTGGGGTCTGCCTGGTGGAAGGGAGCATGCAGGAGGCCGGCAGGTTGATGGTGACCAAGGAAAGCCATTTCCAAAAAGCTCCCGGGGGCACGGTCCTCAGCCATGACTCACTGGGGGCTTGCGTGCACAAGATGCCCCCTGGCAGCTCCAGGGACGGGGTGCTCCTGCTCCTGGCTGCTTGAATGGCAGCATTCAGGTCCAGCATCCACTTCTCCCTTTCCTGACGCGTGCTGCAGGGCGGGAGTGGGCTCTGCTCATTCCTCCTGGCTCAGGAGGCCAGGGCAGGTGGGAGCACCTGTCCCAGGCCTGTGAGCCCAGAGCACTGTCAGAATTAACCCCCCGGAGCACAGGGAGGAGGAGGAGGAGGGAGGGCAAGCCCTAGAGGATCTGAACTGGGCTGGTTTGTTCCAGGAACAATGTTCTGACACTGATTCAGCTGTCACTTCCTATGGGGGATGTGCCCAGGACAGATGCCTGGGTGCTGAGCAGGAGGGGCTGCTCCTGAGAGCCCCATGACCAGGGAAAGGTGCCAGAGTGCCTGGCACAGGCACGCTGCCAGGTCTTCCACCCCCAGCCATTGGCACTTCCCCTTGGCTGGAGGTCCCAGAACACTCGTGCCATGGAGACCTGCTGGCTGGCCTGTCCCCCTCAGAGGCCCCCCCTTGCTGAGCATTGCAACACCCAGGGTGCAGGGAGTCAGGGGCAGCACCGTGGCTAGCCTGCAGAAGGTTCCTGGAGGCCCCCGGCACCCTGGGAGAGGACGCTTCTCTGGCTGTAGAACTTGGAAGCAGAGCTGGTCTCCATGAGAGAGGAGACAGGTCACCCTCCCCACTCAGAGGGGCCTTAGCAGGGAAACTCGATGCACAGAGGGGACACAGGAGGCCCTTACCTGGCTGCCACCACAACTGTCTTCTGTGCTGCATAAATGGTGAAGCAGTAAGGAGCAGCCCATTCGCTCTCGCTCTCCACCTGTGGGTGAGAGGAGGCTGGGGTGGCACCACCAGGATGGCCGGTGAAGCCCAGACCTGAGGATGGCACCAGCCAGGGAGCCCCTGCTGTCCAAGTCTGCGTGACTACAAGGGACGTGACAGGTGGCAGCTGGTGTCCCCACCCTATGCAGCTGTCACCCAGGAGGACAAACTCTGGACCAGAGGGCACTCAAGTACTTACCGGTGGGTCCAGCACTATCAGCTGAAAATCAAGCAAAGGAGAAGCGTTGAGGTTTTTCACTGTCAGGAAGATGCTGCGGCTCACAGACCTCACAGACCTCACAAGGTCAGATGCAAGGAGAAGCCTGCTGCAGCTTCAGGGCAAGTGACCCCAGGACATGATTCCAAAATGGACATCACCAGGAGAAGCCTGAGAGCAGACACAGCCACCCTCCCAGGAAGGCAAGGTCATCCAGGGGTGCTGACGGTCTACACCAGGGGCTGGGGACAGCGTCCATCCCGTCAGAAGGCAGAGTAAGAGCAGTCTCCCAGGCTGAGGAGCACACCCAGGCCACACCAGCACTGTTGTCACTCCTGCTGGGATCTCCGGACAGGCAAGTCACCAACATGACTAACAGTGACTTTCTCAAGCCAGGGGCCATCATGGAGCAGGGGCACACGGTGGCTGGCAGGATGGTGACCACTGACAGCACGGGCCACAGCCTGGATGGGGATGTGGCGGGGGAACAACTAAGGGATGGCATGGCAGGGATGGGGTCTGAGAGATGCTAGGGGACAGCACTGATGGGGACAAGGTGGGTGGCGGGACAGGGCAGAGAACAGGACAGCTTGCCAGAAGGAGCCAGGGCACGAGAGCAAGTTCCCGTGTGACACAGGAGAGGGAGGTTGGAGGGCCGGTCTGCCGCCTGTCCAGTGGACTCCCGCTGCGTCAGTGGGAGGAGGAGAACAGCCACCGACAGGAGCCTACTCAATGGCAGGGGGCATTCTGGGTGTGGGCATTTCAGGAGCTCCCCTCACTCTTTGGGCATGCCCTGTGCTGCCCTCCAGGCGCCTGATGCTGTTCTAGGACGGACAGGCCACCAGCAGGGTGGAGTCAGCTGGGTAAGGCAAAACCCACTGCAGACTCGGCTAAGAGCAAGTGCTGAGCGGCAGAGCACGTGCAGCCTGAAGCCTGGCCAGGCGGCGGCCACAGGCTGCCCCAGCAGCCGAGAGCTCACAGAAAGCAAAGCTGTGCTGCAGGGCAGAGTGCCAGCGGGGTGTGGGTCAGCACTGCCCATGGCTGCTCAACCTGCCAGAGGGCAGCGGCAAAGGGGTGGACCTCCGTGCCTGTCGCTTTTTTCCTCTGGTGCTGGGTGTTTGACTGGGGGGGCACTCTTCCACTGGGCCATCTCATGCTTTGAGACAGGACCTCGCTAAGTCACAGAGGCTAGCCTGGGACCGTCATGCTCCTGCTCAGCCTCAGGGGTTGCTGGGGTGCCAGGCGAGGCCCTCGGGCCTAGTGATACTGCACTTTCTAAGGCTGTGAGCAGACACATGTTCAGACCATGTTAGTGGACCCGGCCACCAGGGTCCCTGCCCTACAGTGACAAGCAGAGACGCACCAAGACCTTGCCGAGTGCCCCCCACTGTGGGACCTTGAGGATGCCCTAAGGTGTGGGAGAGCCCCCACAGTGCTGTTCACCATTCTGGAGAGCCAGCTCCGCCTGGTGCCCGGGATGGGGGGCCAGCTAAGTGCGCTTGGTGTGCTCCCAGTCAGCACCGACCCCACTGTGTGCGAGAGGACAGAGTGTGGGGAGAGGCTTGTGCTGCCACTGGGCAGTGACTCGGGCCATAAGCCTCCTGCAGGAGGGGCCACCTTGTGGAGACTAGCGTGGACACGTGTGGCCCCTGGAGGGCCAAGTGTTGAGAGGTTTTATCTTGCCTTGCCAGTTATCTTTTCTATGATAAAAGTGCTTCATTTGTTTAAGTCCTAGGGCTTGAACCCAGGGGCACTTTTATCACTGAGCCACATCCCAGCCCTTTTTATTCTATGAGACAAAGTCTCACTAAGTTGCTGAGGCTGGCCTAGAAGTAGTGATCCTCCTGCCTCAGCCTCCCACATGACTGGGTCAAAGTCTGGTTTAAAGTCAACTCTAAACCAATGGACCCAGTCCCTGAGTGGCCCCTGGTGGGCAGCAGGCATCACACACCTACTGCAGGGCTGCCTTGGGGCAGAGCGATGAACCTGGGTGGCGAAGCAGGTCTGCAGGTGAGAGGTCACTGAGGGAGTGTCCTGGGCTGGGTACGTGCTCCTGGCAGAGCACAGACATTGGCTGCCGGTCCTTCCCACTCCCAAGACGGGGGCAGGCGCACACGGGACCCACAAGGCAAGGGAGCCTCCAGAGTCTGTGACTGACGGCGCCAAACAAGGCTCTCGAGAGTCAGCCACCAAGAGCACTAACCCCACGGGACCAGGCAGATGCTGACCATGTTGAAATGAGGCCTTTTCCTCTTGGCAGACAGTACAGCAGCATCAATGGCCAGTGGCTGTCCCAGCCCAGGAGTGTGCTAGGGGTGGGCGAAGCACACTGGTGACATGGACGGAAGCACCAATAGCCTGGTGTCCAGCCAGGGTGTGGACACACAGCTTGTGACTGTTGGAAGGGTGCTAAGGGCAGCTGGGCGGCTCCCAGTTCTGGAGGAAGGCTGTGCACGCTGCGTGTGTGTGTACAGGCAGTGGCCACCAAGGCCCGCTCTGTGCTGGGAGCCAGGACAGGCTGCCCTGCCAAGGGCTGAAAGACCCACCTGGAGGGCGGAACCCCGGGTCATTGCGGAAGCCCAGGTGCCACGAAGGTTTGAACCAAGAAGGGCAGCCCAGCAGGGCTCAGCCCCTGGGTTTGCTGCCCCGTGAGACAGGCAGGGTGTGGGCACATCCCTGTGCCCTGGGCCAGCCTGGTGTCACTCACCAGCATGCCGCGGAGTGGAAGGAGACCCCGGATCCGGAAGTGGCTGGTCCCTGCTACACTCTTGCTTGTGTACAGCAACACATCTGAGAACTGAGGACAGGAAGCCTTAGACAAGGACTGATTAAAAAAAAGAGACAAAGTTTTAATGTCTTCATGGTCAGACTCTAGTGGACTTTAGGTGGCCACCATGTGATCATCAGTCAGGGCAACCTGTCCTGGCCCCCAGCATAGAGGCTGAGTGCAGGAGGTATTTTGGAGGGCAAACACTTTTTTTCATTCATTTGACCCAGCAGCACGGGAGCAGGCTGCCTGAGGGCCGAGAGCAAGGGCTCTGGCAGGTGCTGACAGGCAGCTCCCCGCCCAATGGTGATGTGGGCATCCCCAGCTGGATCCAGAAGCAGGACAACAAAGGAGACCTGGTGGGAACAAGGACAGCTGGCGGGTCCTCAGGCCTCACGAAGACAGTGCTTCTGGGTCAGCACTGCGTCCTCCTGCTCGCCACCAGACTGTAGGACACCCTACAGTCACAGGGGCCTGGATTGTCCCACCTTTTGGCTTCTGATTGCCCAGAACCAGAACAGAAAGGGACTGGCCTGGAGGCCTCCTCCCCCTTGGGACATCCCCAAACCCCTGCACGGCCAGGTGCACAGGCTGCTGACAGTGCAGCCTCCCTGCAGAGCAGCACCCATTCCTCTCCAGGTGTGACTCGGGCTGGGGATGCGGCTCCAATGGGCACGGGGCACCTACCAGGAAGAACATCCTCTGCTGCAGGCCCTTCTTGGTGAGCTTGTGCAGGCAGCCCTCCCGGATGAACTCCTGAAAGACAGCCCACGGCACGCGCTGAGCCCCCTGGGCGAGGCCCTCTGGCAGGGCCACCCCACCTTTCAGCAGCCCAACAGAGCGGTGCCAGAGGTCAGGCTGCTGCATTCACTGCCCGTTCGGGCACGCGAACGCCACACAGCCCTGTCAGGTGGCCAGCAGCTGCACTTGGAGGTGTGCGTCGAGCCTCGAGGACACGTCCACACGTAGACCCCCCCCCACATGTGGGTGTCCATAGCAATGTCCTGCAGAGGAGGCCTGCACATAGGGCCTCAGCAAGGAATGAGGCTCAGACACGCTGCAGAGGGCAGGAACCTACAGGAAGGGCCACTAAGTGGCTCCATCACACCATGCGCCTAGAATAGGTGCCCCAAGACATCATGGCAGTGCTGCCAGGGATGGGTGTGGGACCGGGAGTGCAGGGACCCTGTCTGACCTGCCACAATCGTCCTGCATGGTCACCACATGATGCCCGGTGCCCCTGGCTGCCTCCCATGCAGCTGCTCAGCATGCTGTCAGACTGCGCATGTAGCCCGCTACCAGGTGCCAGGAGCACAGCTGACCACGGTGCCCTCTGACTGACTCCTAGGGCCATGCTGTTAGGAAGTTGCAGCAGGCGCACTGTGTGGCCCCGACCTGCCCACCTCCCCTTTGGCCCCCTCGTGGTGCCTGTGGTCAACCCTTCCACATGGCAGCTCCTAGAGCGGGGTGACCCACTGCCCGGGGCTGCGCACACTTGCTGGGTGCCGAGTGAGTGCTGACTTAGTGAACGCACTGAAGACCGCAGACCTGCCCAGCTGGAGGGAGGCCGCTGGGTCCCTGGACAAACACTCAGGTGGAACACAGCAGGCAGCTCCCACTCACCCTCCCGGGGGCGACGAGACTGTCCACGCCCACCAGCTCCCGCTGCAGCTCCATCAGCTTTTGCAGGTTCTCCAGGCGGGTGAGGCTGTGCTGGAGCGTGGTGGTCACCTCTGTAATGGCCTTCAAGGCGTCTGCAAGGAGAGGGTCCTAAGCGCAGGCCCCAGAGTGGTGTGGACGAAGCCCCCCACTACTCCCTTGTGCGGAGTAAGCACATAACAGGCAGTTTTAATCTGGGGCACGTCTCCTCAGCCCCCTTCAGGGACTGTTGCCCACGGCCACAGGCACCTGCCCAGCAGCCACAGACTCCTGCAGACACCCCAGAAACCTCAGCATGCTCCCCCGACAGGGCCGGCCAGCACCGCTGCTCAGTGGGGAAGAACAGGCTTTAGGAGCGTTCCTCAGGGAGAGGTGCCGAGGGCTCTGCAGCACGTCAGGTGGACGCTGGCTAGACACCACAAGAAGAGCAGCCACTCAGCTGTGCCGGCCAGAGCTGCCGCTGACCTAGTCCTGCTCTCTGCTACTGCTACCAGGAGCATGGTGATACCCGTCCCTTACAGGGACCCCTCCCCTTTGCAGGAACCTCTTCCTGCCTGGCCACAGCCCTCAGGGTCCCACCACCTGTGGCAGGACAAGGTCCACAGCCTCACCCAGCTCCTCCGCACGGCTGCCCACACTTCCAGAGGAGAGAGCCAGCTAAAAGGGAGGCACTGGGGAGGCCGTCTCCTGTCAGGACAGGGACAAGCAGCAGGGGTGCCAGCATGGTCCTCAAGTGTAGGGCCCATAGCTGGCGTCTGCACTGTCCACGCTCCCAGCTCCCCTCCCAGTCAGCTTGGGCCGCAGCTCCCCCCCTGGCCTCTTTAGCTCTGTAGCCTCCGGGTACAAGGCGGGCTACATGCGCAGTCTGACAGCATGCTGAGCAGCTGCATGGGAGGCAGCCAGGGGCACCGGGCATCATGTGGTGACCATGCAGGACGATTGTGGCAGGTCAGACAGGGTCCCTGCACTCCCGGTCCCACACCCATCCCTGGCAGCACTGCCATGATGTCTTGGGGCACCTATTCTAGGCGCACGGTGTGATGGGGCCACTCAGTGGACAGAGGCAGACACAGAAGCGCATAGGCCAGGCCTATGAGCCTGCCTTAGACAGGACCCAGAGGCCGCCCTGCTCTCAGATGCTGTATCTAGAGGACACAAGGCTGAGGGCTAGGACTGCTGCTTGGGCTCTGTGCTGCCCTTGGGCTGGCACTGGAAGCTGCCGGAAGCCGGGCACACACTTCAGACCCGGTCACTGTGCCTCCCCAGCAGCCACAGGGCCAGCACGCTGTATCCCTGACAGGTCAACACACTGCGCACTCTGAAACCACAAGCCGCTTCTCCAGCCCCCAAGGTGCCCCTCTTCCAAATACAAGTTCTCAGCAAGGCCCCGCAAGGCTGCTGGTCCACAGGCACACCTGGGCCTGCTCTCCAGACACGGCCCGATGGGCGCGACCAGAGCCTGGCCTGGGCCTCCCCTCGGGGCATGCCTCCTGCAGAGGACCACCCTGCCAGCACCTGGGGTCACGGCAGGGAGACACATCTGATTTCTCCTTTCAGCAGGCCAAGAGGGGGGACTGCCCACTCCTGCAGCCTGTTCCCCTGGCTCATCGGGAGGCACCTGCTGACGCCATGTGGCCAGAAGGAAGCGCCCCGCCTTTTCCATCTGCATTGTCACGACAATGGCGCTTTCCTACACTGGATCTAGGCTGGATCAGAAGTCGCGCGTGGGCGTGTTGGTGAAAGGAGTCCATGTGCGCCACCTGGCTGTCACCTGGCCCAAAGCTACAAGTTTCAGAGCCAAGGCTTCCAGGACAGGAATACCCACAGGAGACAGGTCACTCTGCGGGGTGTGTGGCTGTGCACCTTTGGTGGCTCTGGGGCCCTGGGTTAGGCTGTCCCCTTGTGGCCCCACACCCCGTGGCTCTGCGCTGTTGACACTTGGGCTGGGAAGGGCCTGTGGTTGGTGGAGCAGGAGGAGGGCCACCTGCCTGTAGAGGCCTGCCCCCATCCCCTTCCAGCTGCAGAGAGGACCACTGACCACTCTGCGGCTCTCCTGGGTGGACCAGCAGAGGGGCCTCTCCCGCCCCACTCACCGCGGCAGTCGGCATGATCCCGGTGCCCGGGTGGGTGGTGCTGGCACAGGCGGCTCAGCAGCAGGCGGTAGCGCACCAGCCGCTGGAGGGGCTTCAGCAGGAACGCGCTGAGAGGCAGGTAGCAGACCTTCTGGAGCTCGAACTCTTTGTAGAGCAGCTCCAGCTTCCTGCAGCGCTTGGTGGCCTTGTCCAGTTCTGTCAGGACCTCGTCGTGCCTTTGGAAGTAGCTGGTGAGCTCCTGTGGAGACACAGAAGGGCAGTGTGCAGGGGAGAGCCACAGGGCCTTTGCACGCCTTCACGCTCCACCCTGACCTGCTGCTCCATGCCCAGGCCCACTGCCCACATGCTTCCCGTGGCCAGTGGAGGATGGCAGGGCTGCACTTACCTTGCGGGGCACAGCAGGTGAGTGCTGGCAGGGATCAGGAAACCCCACTCAAGCTCCACCAGGCCCTAGTGCCCCACCCAGGAGGTCCCAGAGTGGGGCTGAGGAGCCGCTCAGCTGCTGGAGAGGGCGTTGCATTCTTTCTCCAGGCTGACAGTGAACCGGGGCGCTCTCCCACTGAGCTGCTCCCCAGCCCTCCACAGATGCACTGTGCCACGCCTCGGCCTCCCAGCAGCTGGTCCCAGACGGGCGTCACTGTGTCCCTCCACGCCTTGCCTTTTTCCTTTCTCCCCGCCCTAAGGACTGAACCCAGGGGCTCTCCCACTGAGCTGCACCCCAGGCTTTTCTCCTCCTGAGACGAGAGTCTCACCAAGTTGCCCAGACTTGTGATCCTCCTGCCTCAGCCTCCACGTTGCTGGGATCATAGGCGTATGCCACCGCTGGGCCCAGCCATACCTGGCGTCTTAATAACACACCAGTGCACACAGGTTGTGACTGCTACACAGACCAACAGGTCAGACTAGACAAGTCCTCCTTCTAGAGGGCTTCAACAGACATAAGGACAACCTGAGTGGTCTAATGAACTGGGTTACAAGATGTGTGCATAGTTCAATTTCCAGTTAATGCAAGTGCTGAGGGACAGAACTTCCTGTTACCCTGGCACAGAGGCCCACCAGGGTGTCCGGCAGGAGGGCCATGGGCAGGCTGGAGGGCTTCAGGTAGCCAGTGCTGGCTCTCCAGGTGCGGGTGTGGCAAGAGCCCCAGCTGCAGAGAGCCCAGGGGAGCCCGACTGTGGTGCTGGCTCCTCAGCCACCAGTGACTGTGGGCAGCTGGAGGGACAGGGCCGGGGAGCCCCTCCCCTGATGGAGCTCACTCGCTCTCAGGAGGACACCTGAGACAGGAGCCTGGTAGCCTTCAGCCTCGCAGGGTTTCAGCGTCCCAGCCCTGGGTGGGGCCCAAGCTGACGCCTGTGTTGGGGCACCCTGGACTGCCCAGGGTCTGCCATGGCTATTCCCGGAGCTTGGACGCTGTTCTCCAGGAACACAGTGTGGGAGCTGCTCTGGAGGGGGGCGTCCTGAGACGACACCTGTCCTTGGGAGGGTCAGAGCCATTCGAGGGGCTCCTGGGGAGGCAGGCCATCTGCCTTCTGGGTGGGCTGGGAATGCACTCGGGCCCCAAGGTGTGAGCCCAGCAGCACAGAGGGCGGAGCTGTGGGGGCCTCTGCACCAACCCAGTGAGGGGACCAAGCCCAGGTGGGATGCACAGCAGGCCTTGGCCTAAGCCAAGGAGAGACCAGACCATAGAGGGAGGTCCACGTGGCTTCAGAGCAGCAAGAGGATGCAGCACAGAAGCCAGGTCCTCCAGAGGAGGTCGGAGCCATGTCTTCTCCTCTGTGCACCTGCCTAGTCCAAGATCGGCTGTGACAGCCTTCAGAGCCCAGGGACAGAAGGCGACAGGTGCGTCCATCTCAGGTGTGCAGCACCCCAGGGAGCGGAGACCACAGCCCGCAGAGCTGGGCCCTCCCTGCCGTCCTCTCCTCTCAGCTCTTCCCAGGTGCCTGGTAGCCAGGTGTGGCCCTGGTCCTGCCATTTCCCTCTGGAGGCCCCAGCCATTCCTGGGGTGCTGGCCCTCCTCTCCAACCCTCCAACCTTCACACTTTGTTTTTTGTGCTATTAAAATTGACTCATTCAAATTAAAATTCAGTAAAATCTCTTTAAAAAGTCCTATCACCACTTGGACTGCTACAGACCCTGGGGTCAGCTCTGTTCCCAAGAGGTCCCACCTTCCCAACAGGGATGCCAAGGGTGGACGCCCCACAGCTGAAGGTCCTGTGTCAGGACACCTCTCAGAGGTGACGATGGTCCACAAGCAATAGCCTGACTCCCAGCCCCAGCCCAGCTCCTGGCCCTGGGACAGAGATGCCCACGCAGTCCGAGGAGAGTCACTGGTGGGCTTCTCTCCCCAGTGCCACCCCACTGCAGGGATGCCCAGGGGTAGGTGGCCTGTGGCTCATCCACCCATGGAAGCCCAATCAGGGGCAGAAAGCACCAGAGCCACAGGGGTCTGCCCCCGAGCCACAGGCCAGCCGGGCTCCCAGCCAGGGGCATGTGGGTGGGCGAGGGCCTCTCAGGAAGCATGGTTCCCCCAGAGCCTTGCCACCTGCCTCCACAGGAGGTACCGCACAGCCTCCAGCCCCAAGGGCCAGTCCTCACCAGTCTCCACCAGGAAGGCGGGAGGGCCAGCACTGGGCAGCCAGGGCCTCCTGACACAGCTGAGCAGGCAGGTGCACACAGAGGCTTGAGCAGGCTGGACTCTGTGAACATGTCTGACCTGTGTTCACTGAAGCTGCTGGCCCTGTGGGAGTCCCCATGGAGTCTGGGCCAGGCTCCCCTTGGCCACGCGCCTTGCTGGGACCCCACTTCTCAGGACCAGCACAGAGGGCCTTCAGGAGCTGCAGGCACACCTGGGAGCTGCATCTACCTCATGGCCCCGCAGGCCAGCAAGGGGGACAGTGGTGAGGGAAGGGCCACCCACACTGGAGATGGGCCTTGCTGTGCAGACCCAGACATGTGGAAGGGCACCCTGCACCATCCCGCCCCCAGGCAGTGGCTTTCAAGCGTTGCCCAGAGTGCGTGAGTGTGGACAGGGCCGGGGCAGGGGGGTGTTTGAATTCTTGATGTGTGGGTTTTACTTTGCTTTGCTTTGAGGACACTGTTAGGAGAGGAGCTTTGGAAGGGAGCGTGGTCAGGACCCCACAGTGTGTTCTGGGAGAGGAACCTAGGTTCTGCTCCACTGCTCGTTCGGGCAGCCTTTGAAGCACTAAATGCTTCAGTCTCCATTTAAACCTTAAATCTTGACTTTGAGGACATCTCTTAACCCAAGAATTGCATTGTAATTGATAGAATTCACATACCACGAAATTTGTGTTAGAGTATGCAGATCCCTTTGATTTTAGACTATTTGCATAGTGTGTGACATCAACACACCGCATTCCAGAATATGTTCGTCATCTGAAGAACAGAGCCCCGGAGCCAGGTGCAGGGCCACACACCTGTGATCCTACCTGGGAGGTGAGGCACGGTGGCCAGTTTGAGGCCTGTCTCATAACAGGAAGGGTTGGGAGTGCAGCTCAGTGGAGAGTGCTCACCCGGCATGTGCGTGTGCGTGTGTGGGGGGGGGGGCCCGGCTCCACCCCAGCAGTGCAGGAAAGAACAGGAGAGGGCTGGGGCGGGGCTCAGTGGTGGAGCACTCGCCTCCCCTCCCACATGGGAGGACTGCCTTCCATCCTCAGCACCACATGAAAAAATAAATAAATAAATAAAGGTATTCCATTTATCTATAACTAAAAAAAAAAATGTATTTTTTAAAAAGTAGAGGAGAGCCCCACCCTGCTGCAGTGCTCCCCCAGCCCCCGGCCTGCGGGGCGCCCTCTGGGCCTGTCCTGGGCTCTCCACATGGTGCACTCTTGCAGAGCGTGCCCTGTCCTTGGCCTTCAGCTGTCTGTCGTGCTGGGTGCCGTTCCTCTTTGCAGCTGAGGGTGAAGGTGTTGCTGTCTCTGAAGGGTCCACTCCTCTCATCCCACCGCCTTCCCCCATAGGTGCAGGAAGGCTAACTGGTGTCAGTGTAGAAACTGGAGTGTGGGCAAAGTGTCCTTGTTGGCTTTTATTAGATCTTGCTTTGGGACCTTTCAAGTTCATTGAAAAGCTTGACAGTGGCACAGAGAGCTCTGGCTAGATAAGTACTTTCTGGACAGATTCTTTGAGACTCAGTAAATGTCTACCCCACGTATGCTCCTGGTGGCCTTGGGCTGGCTCTGGTGTCACGGGGACATGTGCCACTGTCCTCACACCACCCTGCAGGCTCACTCTGCTCTGGCTGTTGCTGCCTCGCACTCCGGAGCCGTCTGGAAGCTGCACACGTGTACACCTGCTCACACGTCTGAGGATAAGGACACCAGGCGTCCCCTTTGCTCCTGTTCCACTTCAGGCCTGGCCCTTCAGGCTTTCCTCAGCTCAGCCAAGAAGCCCGAGCACCCTGTCCCCTGTCGTGTTAGCACTGATTGGTAAAATTGTCATGAAGCCTCATCCAGGAAGTCACAGAAGAGTCAGTGTGTGTGCGCAGTTGTTCCCGAGGCCACGGAGGGTGTCAGACGGCCACTGTGCTGCAGGGGTTGTCCTGAGCCATCTCTGCTGCGTGAGGAGGAGAGTCTGCTGGGTGACAGCCACTGCACCTGTCTGTCTGTTTCAGGGAACCACCAAAATCAACACCTTCAACTGGTCCAAGGTCCGTAAACTGAGCTTTAAGAGGAAACGGTTTCTTATCAAACTCCACCCGGAGGTCCATGTAAGTATTTTGAGCACTTTTTAAATTATGAAAACATTATCCTATTAGAATATTGAAAGATTTTTTTAAAAAATACCTTGTAGATCCTTGCAGTGCCTTGCACACAGCATTGAAGGACAGGTGGGGCCTAGAGACACAAGGCCATCTGTCCCACAGGCCACACACACCCCCGGTTCCACCTGGGGCTTCAGACTCACCGCCCAAGTAGGCCTGAGAATGCACATGTCCAGGGCACCACTGCCTCATTCTGCAGGTGGCAAAGCCGAAGTCCACGTTGTCCAGAGTGAGCCAAAGGCTCCAGGGAAGCAGAGGACCTAGGGTCTCACTAAGTTGCTAAGGCTGGCCTTGACTTGCGGTCCTCCTCCCTCAGCCTCCCGAATCACTGGGATGACAGGCATGTGCCACCGTGCCTGGCTTCAGAGTAAGAACTTCTGTCCAGAGGAATCAAAGGGCAGCCCTGGTCTTGTCACATGCCTTTAAATCAGCAGCTGACCTCTGACTAGCTCTGACTGAAGAACCCTTGATGATCAGGAGATAAGTACTCCTTTCCTTAGAGTTCAGTCAATAAAGGAACGATTCCATCTGAATTTAAAATGGAAAGAGCAAATATCTGTGCAGTCTGATAGGTGAGAAAACCGCACTGCTCAGAGTTGTCCAGATTGTCACGTTCCCGTGGTACTGAGGAAACTGGGGACAGAAGCAGACCAGCTGCACCCTCTGGGCTGGAGCCGGTTGCCCGCCAGGCCAGCTGAGGCACACTCTGGACCAGTCAGAAGAAGAGAGCCATGGCCAGCAGGGCCTTGGGCTGAGTGGACATCCGCTGCGACGGAGCCTGAGGCCGATGGACTGTCGGGTGCTTGCGTAGCTCTCTAGCTGGGTGGTGCACGCCTGTCATCCCAGCTACTCAGGAAGCTAGGCAGGAGGACCCCAAGGTCAAGGCCAGCCTGCACAACTTAGCAAGGCCCTGTCTCAAAGTAAATGGGAGAAGGGCTGGGGGTGCAGTGCGGGGTGGGGCACTGCCCTGCATGTGTGAGGCCCTGGGTTCCATCCCCAGCACTGGAAAACAGAACGCAAATAAAAGGCTATTTTTTCTTGTGAGTACACACCTGTTTCTTGCAGTTATTCTGAGAAGGTAGAGAAAGAAGATAATTACTTGCTCATGTTACCAAAACAACTGATTGGAATAGCCTGATGTTTCAAGGCCCAGAGCCGTGTTGGTATCTGTACTTGGCAAAGTTACGTCTACATCCCTCAGCACCTTGATTTTTAAGACGAAATAGAGGAGTTATTATGGTGCTTATGGACAGTAATTGTGTTCAGGCCTGGAATTTGGTTTCTGGGAATATATCCTAAAGAACAGTTGTGAAGGAGAATGCAGTGGTTTCCCTATGAGACCCTGGCGTGGGGCGCCCCCGCGGTTCGGGTTTGGATGTGTGTTGTGCCTCAGGATGGGGGCAGGTGAGGTGCAGGGCTCTCTTCCTCAGTGTCCACAGGGAAGATACGCACTACGGCTTTCTCCACTGGACAAAGCCAACGAAACTAGAAGCCCTTATATTCAATTTTTAGGGGAAAAAAAAAACTTCCTAATTTTTAATTTTGAAACTGCCTGATGTGTGATCTGCTTCCTGAATTTACCTTCTCTTGTCCAGTACCTTGTCGTCAGGTTTGCTACTTGAACTGCTGTGTTTTGTTCCCAGGGACCCTACCAGGACACATTAGAATTCTTGTTGGGGAGCAGAGATGAGTGTAAGAACTTCTGGAAGATCTGTGTGGAGTACCACACCTTTTTTAGACTTCTTGACCAGCCCAAGCCAAAGGCAAAAGCTGTCTTCTTCAGCCGGGGCTCCTCCTTCCGATACAGGTAGGGCTGCCCCTGGGCTGCAGGGCTGGCCGGCCCCTGGTAGAGAGGGAGGTGGGCTGGGCAGACAGAACGGGCAGTGAGTAGCCACACGCAGGAGGTTCTCATGAGAGATGGTAACTGGACGGAGCTTATCAGCATAGTGGGACGGGGCGCCGCTCGGGGGCAGAGCGCTTGCCTAGCGCGTGCAAGGCCTGGGTGCATCCCCAGCACCACATATGAGAAGAAAACAGGCGTGACAGAAACGTTGCCTAGAAGACCTGCACGCTTACTATGAAGTATGACTTCAAGACGTGCACACGCCTGTCCTCGAGCAAGGACAGAGGCCTGTGCGTCACTGCTGGCTCTTTCTTGAGAACCTGAGCCTTTGTTCACAGTGGGAGAACTCAGAAGCAGCTGGCAGAATACGTCCGAGACGGTGGGGTGAGGAGAACGCCATATGAAAGGTGAGCCCTGTGGTCTCCAGGAGGTAAAGTCTGTGCTTTTAAAGTTAACATGTCAGGGGCTGAGGCTGGGGCTCAGTGGTAGAGCGCTTGCCTCGCACCTGCGGGGCACTGGGCTCAGTCCTCAGCACCACAAAAAAAATAAATAAAGGTATTGTGTACATCTGCAACTAAAAAAAATATTTTTTAAATTAATAATTTTAATATTTATCTGAATAAAAGTCATTTCAAATTTACCAATTTTTTTTTCCCCAACTGGGGATTGAACCCAGGGGTGCTTAAGCACTCAGCCACATCCCCAGCCCTTTTTTATATTTTATTTAGAGACAGGGTCTCACTGAGTTCCTTAGGGCCTCACTAAGTTGCTGAGACTGGCTTTGAACTTGGGATCCTCCTGCCTCAGACTCCTGAGCTGCTGGGATGACAGGCTGGGTTGACAGGCATGCGCACTGCAACCAGCTACAAATAGGTTTTTTGATGCTTGATTCCTGTTTCAGTTTCTGTAAAAAGGCAGCTTTGTAGTCCCTACAGCTGTCATACCCGTGTACGTGCATGTGTGTATATAGAGAGGTGCTACGTGTGCTTCCTCGTGTGCAGAGCTGAGCCGACGTGGAGTGGTTTACACAGCGCAGTGACTCACGATCTGAAACCCGTGGGAGAGGCCTCGTGATCCCACCTCCTGGGGATTCTGTTTTTGCTTTGATTCTCCTTCCTTGAATCCTGCCCATTCCTTGTTAAGTGCCAGTCTGAGCTTCATGCCCCACTGAGCTGTTCTTGCCTTCTTTCTCTCTGTGCGGGGGATTGGACCAGGTCTTGATGCCCTCCTCACGCCTGGCAGGTGCTCTCCGCTGAGCTGCTGCTCTGTGGGAGCTGCCCTGCTGCGGGAGCAGGCCTGGGAGGGGAGGCTACTCACTGCCCGTTCTGTTTGCAGATGGCACAGCAAGACCCAGGCATCCCTCCGTGCTCTGACTGCAGACCTGCCAAAACAGGTTAGTCCTCCCTGGCCGAAACCTTGGGGCACTGCCTCTACCCTCTGGAAAACCACCTGCGTAGCCAGAAGCTCAGCTCGTCACAGTGGTCGGCCCTGCAGCTCCAGCCCTGGGACTCTTCAGCCAGGGGTGCTGGGCGAAGCCCAGGCCCCGCCTGGAGCTCTGCCACTCAGTGTCCTTCCCACTGGGACCCTGCACAGCCCTCGGTGGCTTCCCAGCCCAGGTTTAGTTGTCGTGCAGGCATGCACAGACACCTCCCAGAAGGATGTGGCTGGGACGTCCCAAGGAGCAGCAGCTGCTGCTCCATCCCCTGCTTGAGGACGGTGTGATGGTGTGTCTGAGTGTTGATTTCTACATGCATGAGGGACTGCACGTGGAGCCCTGCTCCTTCCAGGGGGTCCTGAGTGTGCCTGCCCGAGCTGCCCAGGCTGTGCTTCCTGCCCTGTCGCCCGCTGGCCTGTGGCTGACTCTGAGCGGGGTTGTCGGCAGCTGCGTGTGCACCTGTATCTTGAGGCTCTGCTCAAACGCTGCTCCACATCCATGCCTCTGCTCTTCCAGGTGTCTCCCTCTGGAAACTCCTGTTACATCAGTTGGATTTAAAAAGGAATGTTTTTAATTGTTACTTTATAAAGTTTGAATTTAATTTCAAAGTGTGAACAGTCTAAAATGACATTCAAGCTTTGAGTTCTCTTACATTATATTCTAAGAACCAAGAGAATATTGAATGTGGTTGAATGATTAAGAGGAGGGAAGGATGAGCCAGGTGCGGCCCACACCTGTCATCCCAGCAGTTCAGGAGGCTGAGGCAGGAGGATCGCAAGTCCAAAGCCAGCCTCAGTGATTTATTAAGGTCTAAGCACTTGGCCATTTAACCACCAAGCCACATCCCAGGCCTTTTATTTAGAGACAGGCTCTGGGATGTGGCTCAGTGGTCAAGCTCCCCCTGAGTTCAATCCAAACTAAAAAAAAAAAAAAAAAAAGAAAGGTGGTATGATAGACACTGAGAGACAGACTGATCTCATGGACATGCCCTGCTCCGTGTCTAGAAGGTGAAATGCTGGGCCTTCTGCCATGGAGTCACTTGTGCTCCGTGTCACAGCACAGGCACACTGTGTGCTCTTCATGTCCTCTAGAGGACATGTGCGTGTATGGCCACAAGAGCAGATTGATCAGGGCAGCTCACAGGAGCATAGCTGGAGAGGCTCACGCTGGCCTCTGCAGGCTGGAGAGCCACAGGGGCCAGGGATGTGGAGTCCAGGCCTGAAGGCCTAGAGGCTCCCTGGAAAAGGACTAGTGAGAGGGCAGCTGGAGCCCAGGACCCAGGGCAGAGCAGCAGCAGTGGCTCGAACCCCTGGGCCCACTCTTCCTGCCTGTTGGACAGTGCTGCCCACATTCAGGGGAGGTGCAAGGCCTCCAGGGAAGCACCCTCCTGGACACAGGGACACTCCTGTGCTGCACGTCCCGAGTGCCCCCGGTGTGGCTGCACCCTCCCAGCCTGGCACACACTGCATGGTCCCCCTCCTGACTGACCGCTCTCCTTCTAGCCTCCCACGCTGGGGTGTGCCTGCACTGGAGTGAGGGTTTTCCCCAAGCACAGTTGCAGTTCAGGGTGGAGAGCTGAGTGACATGAGAAGAGGAAGCAGCATGCCAGGGACAGCATGGCCCTCCCTTCATTGCCCTGTGGCCATCCTCACCCTGCTCATGGGCCACTCCCCACTTGTGCGGGAGCCATGGCTTCGGGATGCCCAGGTCCCTCTGCCCTGGTGGGGGCAGGATGCCTTCCTGGCAGGGGCCCTCAGCCTTGTGATGTGTGGGTGGACTGAGGGGCAGTCCCCCTCCTGGACTGGTGTCACACTGTGCCAGTGGCACTGCTGGCCGAGTGGCACCATGAGCTGTGAGCACCAGACCCTTGTGCTGGCAGCCTCAGGTGATGAGGGTCCCCACGCCACAGAGGGGTACTCACTGCGTGACATAGATGTCACATGTCACGAGAGACAAAGGGGGATTATGAGGGATCATGAGCAGGTGATCGTGAGTCTGCATCACCAATGCTCTGTGCTAAGCGGCAGGTGTGACCGGTCGCCCCTTCCATAGAACCGTGAGAAGTGCATGGATATCCCAAGCAGGGCCCAGTTGGCTTTGCCGCTTCTAATTGTGACTTGTAATTTCATGTGCTCCTTTTTGTTTTCTCGATTTTGATCTGCAGAGCATCTCATTGACCGAGGGCTTGAGGACTTCTGCCTCCCTGTCTCCAGCAAATGTCTCCTTGGGTCCATTCCCCTCCTCCCCGGGGTCCCCTCCTGGCCTGCCCAGCTTCGAGGACAGCAGCAGCCCCCTTATAGACCCCCCAGCTCCCGACGCCAAACGTTCAGCCTCCGAGCGGAGCCGCAGAGCAGCAGCTGGAGGCCCCGGCCTGCCCTCAGCCCCCCCGCCCAGGCCCCCCGAGCCCCAGCTGGTTCCAGGTGTGGGGCTCTGTCGTGTGGTGGGCGGCCATGGCTCTGTCTGCCCTGTGGGGTGGAGTCTCAGTGCCGTGGACCCAGGTGCAGGGAGGGCCAGGGCCGGGCTCAGAGTCACCGGTGGCGATGGTAGTGCTGGGGGTGCCTTTCCCACAGGCTCACTCCTGTCCTTGGGGGAGGACCCGTGTGGCCAGCAGTGCCGTGGGGCAGGCCCTGTGTTCCCATTGACAAACGCGCAGCTGCAGGTGTCTGAGGAGTTCATAGACGACGACCCCGCAGACATCTCTTTCTTTGCTGGAGGCTCTGAGGCCTTTTCTTTCCCGCCTAGCTCTGTAGTCCCTCAGGAGCCCCAGGTCTCTGCCCAGCCCCCTGCACCTGTGTCCTTCCAGCACCTACAGTCTGCTGGGTCCAGCCCAAACAGCCTCTCTGCCGAGGCAGTAGATGCGAGCGTGGAAGACAGTTTGGAGTTTGGAGAAGGGAGTGATCTCAGTGGCACTTCCGATGCTGCAGAGCTGCTGGGAGTGCAGGTGCGTGCCTGCCTCCCACAGAGCCGGGGGCGCCCCGCGGAGACCAGCTCCCTCAGCGACATGCCACTCCATGGTGTGCTGTCCTTGCACACGGCCAGCTCGGCCAGCCAGTCCGAGGCCAGCTCCATGGTTAACTTCCCAGCCTGCTCAGTCCGCTCCGAGTCCAGCTCGGCCTTCCAGTTCTCTGACATCATCGACCAGTTAGAGCAGCTCAGCTACCCGCCCACAGCGGCCGAGGACTCCAGCAGCACAGACTCGAGCTCGTGGGACTCTGAAGCAGAGGCCCCCCTGGACATGAGCCTCTTTTTCAGCAACCCTTTTGCACAGACCCGTGGGGAGAGAGTCCCTTTTGAGGTGCAGGACAACTTGAAGAGCCTGACTGCAGGAGAGCAGATAGATAGAAACCCACCTGGGCCTCTGTAGACCCCTGCACAGGGAGGCCCGGCTCCCCCACCCACCATGTGGTAGGGCTCAGGATCCCTGGGTTCAGACACAGGAGTGGTGGACTGATGTTAGATGTCCCGTTTGGGGTTTTCCCCCTAATTCCTGATTTGTTGTACTCTTACATG